TATATTTATTTATTTTTTAATTTTAATTTTATTTTTTATTTTTATTAGCCTGTGTATTTGCATACGCAATTCAATAACTTAAGGCGTATAAATCACGTAAAAGCAATACGGTCAATTGCCACTGGTTGAATTTTATAAAATACGTTTACGACGATAAAGTTCATAATAAATGCATATTTCCATTCATTGATTGTTTTATGCTGCGGCTCAAAGAAACCCCATACACATATGTAACGCATACCATTTCGGTTTTATTTCATATTATTTAATTGTCTGCAGTTAAGCCGACAACGATAAATCAATGCCTGAACAATCGCTGGCAAATAATCAAGGATTTTTAAATTTATTTTTTACTTACTTTCGGGGACAATCAGAGATTTAGCTGCGCATAAAGTTGCAAAAAGATACGCCTTTGATGCCGCACATAATGATTGATGAATGCAATTAAAAGTGGGCAAGCAAAGGAGCAATAATGAACGACTGCAGGAGGCGTCTCTGACAATCAGACTTGAGCACTTTGTTAGGAAAAGTAATGAAAATTAACGATAAAATGCAGTACAAAGGCTGCTACGACTGCTGCAGCCCAAATTTAGTAAACGAGCCAACTGTTTAATACCCTATTCAATAGCAGGCTCTCAGCTATGCGAGCTAACTTCACAAAAGCGAATTCAATTTGGCTGCTTATTGTCATCTATTACCGACAACAAATGCGATAATCCTATTGTGGTTGTTGGCTCTCTTTAATTGGAATCTCCCCACACGCACTGCCACACGCACTGCCCCACCCACTCGCACACACACACACACGTATGCGAAAACTCTAGCTAACTGCGACAAACAAAAGCGGCTTTACTTTTCATGTTCTGCGGCGAGTGCGTTTTGAGGCGCCATTACTCACTGCTCGCAGAATGGCATAACTATGCTTGTGGAGCTGCCCACGGCATCCGATGGGATAAACTATCAGCTGGCATTTCGCATGCCACGAAAAGTTTCCAACCATTGTTTCAGTTGTCAAACAAGCGTTGTCAAAAAGTTTTCGCCTGCCTCGCCTGCCGCAAATTAGGTGCCGCAGCTTAAAGACCACACTTAAAGCCTGATTAGCTAATTGACCATTTCGAATTGGATTCCAAATAGGAATCTCTCATATCAACGAACGTATAGCCTCTAATCATTAATCTAATAGGAGAGTACGTGTAGCTTTAAAAAAATATATATTAATAATATAATAATAATAATAACAGCACACAGCTTCAGCTGGCTTACTTTCTGGGACAGTGTCGACCGCAGCTACAAGTCTGAATAATTCGCTTATTGCAATTAAAAGCAATTATGCTCGTTGTCCCAAAAACCACAAACTCATTAGCTTGGTGCACCAAAACCACAATGCAGCATTGCTTAACCACAGAAACAACAAATACCTGCACAGCAGCAACTAAGCTACCCCAACGACAAATACACACACACACACACACACAGACGTAAATGCAGGCACTCTCATATACTGTCACAGTAACTGTGTATGTGTGTGAACTGTATTTACATATTTGGGATTTGAACTGGGCAACCATTGAATTCTAAAGCTCTATCGTCTTTCAAATTGCAAAACTTGAGCCACTTTCATGCTAAGCAATTTTTTGGCCGCTTCCTTTTTGACATGTGTGTGAAGTGCTTTCTGCCCATTGTCCATTGTCCATTGCCCACTGCCCGCTGCCCATTGGCCATTGGCCCGCATCGGGTGGTTGAGGTGGGTAAAATGTTTGTTTAGAAGGTTTTATGCATATGTCGGACATGTGAGAAATTCCATTAGGAAGTTTTCTTTGTTTGCATAACATTTGCATCTCTAACAGAAAATAAAATTATTTATTTGTGGCCAAAATGGGTCGCTTTCACTCACAGCGCTCACAGATTCCACATCTAGAATTTTATTATTACTATTATTATTATTTTGTAATGGATTTGAGTGTTTGCAGAGCCACAGCACAGAATAAATCATTTGCATAAAATCGATTATGCCATCTAAACCGAATCAAATGAATACAAAAAAAAAAAATAAATAAATAAAATAAAATAAGAGAAACGTGAAGTAAAATAAATAGAAATATAGATCAAAGTTTACCTCGCATGAATTATGTAAGCATTCCTTCTATGATCGTCTAATGCATATGCGTATATATTTATATATGTATATGTATATGTTTATGTATATACTTGTGGCTCACTCAGCATTAAGTTCTTTGCAGAGCTTTACAGAGTTTTCATTTTAATTAATGCTTAAATATATTTTACAAAGGCTTTAATAATTTTTCACATTTTTAATGAATTTATTTTCCTTGATTTATTTAACTCAACTTATTTAGCTCAAGTTAAATCAATGGGCAAAGTTCTCAAGAAAAGTCTTTGTGACTCGCGCATATAATTAATATTTCCCATTTTTATATTTTTTGACTCTATTTAAAGAAGTTAACAATATATTCAACAAAACAATTCATGTTTCATACAAAGCTCTAAATTGAATCCAGAATGTAAGCAAATTAATTTTATTTGTAGATACGTGACTTACAATTTGAAGCGCATTCATCGACATGCCAAATATGATATATAATGATGGAATTTGTAAATATCAATATCAAATGAACGTCGATAATAATAATGCCCGAATAACTCCGAGTGCATTTGTGCCAGCTAAGCCTATTCCATGTGCACACACACACACACTCACACACACCCACCCAC